AGTAGCTAAGAAATATTAAATGTTCCATATAGTCTCTAAGAAGTATCTATGAAAGATCTAAGAAATCTCTGCCTAACCCAGTCACAAAGACTTTTCTCTGGTGTTTTCTTCAGGAAGTTCTCTGGTTTTAGGTTTTACGTAGTCTTAAAATTTGACTATTATATGTAGTACAAAGAAGGTCAGTACTTTCCAACAAATATTGAACAATCACATGAAACAAATTAATATAGCATAATGGTTAAGAACTCAGTATCTAGAGACAGATTAAGGTTCTAGTCTTGGTTCCAACATTTAATTAACTGTGATCTTGGTTAAAATTATTTAACTAGTCTGACCTTGTTTCCTTATCTAAAAATTAGGGTAAGAACACATGAAATTGACTGGATCATAAAGTCTCTGAGGTCCTGTAGTGATCTAGCAGCCTGTGAAATTTTTAATCTGTGCTGTAGGATTGGAACTGGGAGAACATTTGTGAACATTCAAAATTCCCAGTGATGGATATGAACAAGAAATTTCAAATTGACAGTTATCAGTGTATAATCGTTTCTTATAAAACAATTTCTGACTGATAGAAGAAATAGAGGGTAATGTGTTCCTTATAATACAGTTCTTATCTCTGCTCTCGGTACAAATCACATGAAGCACTCATTCAAGAAGTAAGATTGCCAAGGAAGTGAGATGGGAAAAATGAAAAAAGATGTATAGAGGGGAGGAAAGGAGGGACGGATAAGTATCCAAAGTACAGCTTTTCAGCCATAGGATTTAATTTCCCTGAAGATCCTTGTGTAAATTGCTTTATTAATTCTCACATATTTTTTAAAATTTTTGAGCCAGTCTGTTACCACCATGAAAATGTTTCAAGACTTTAGCCACCTATTGTTGTTCCTGTGTGTTTGTTTGTACTGAGGATTGAACCCAGAGGCAGTTTACCAGTGAGCTACATCCCCAGCCCTTTTTCTATGTTTTATTTTGAGACAGGGTCTCCCTAAGTTTCTAAGGGCCTCACAAAGTTTGAGGTTTGCTTTGAATTTGCCATCCTTCTGCCTTGGCCCCCTGGGATGCAGGGATTCAGGCGTGTTCCACCATGTGTGGTCTAGTTGATCTTCTTTGGGATGAGAAAATTTAAACCTTTGCCCAAGGGGAAAAAAAAATTGAAATGTTCCTATAATTTAAAAACTTCCTTGCAAAGTCAAGAATATATTAATTCAGTTATTTGAACTGTTTTAGCCTCTGACTTCTTCTATACAAGTGGATAATTGAAAGTCCACTATACATATGTTAACAATCACTGAATATTGTTTTATTTTGATTACATTTTGGGGAGAGGAAGACTCATACCCATCCGCTCAATGCTTTGATAGACACCTACCATGCCAGGCAACTGCACTAGATGTAATCGTCCGTTTTCATCTGTATACTTTCTCATTTGATCTTCCCCCAAACTGCACTTTTGACAATAGAAACTGTTTTAAAAGATTAAAACTTGTAAAATTCTCCCTGTTGGTTAGAAGTAGAGCACTCTTGGAATGTGTAAGCTAGTTGAGCACACAAGTACCTCTGTGATACTCTAAGTCCCATTGTGGATACACATTAACCCAGTGTGACTCCCAGTGGGAAGCTCTGGAGAAAGTCTGAAAAGAATAAATGGAATTTTGACAGGTGAATATTGGGTTGTGAGAAAGGGAAGAGGAGGAGGAGAAATTCTAAGTAGCATAAATGTTTCAGAGAGACTCATTGCCCAGAGAATGTGTGGTGGGGTCATGGAACAGCAAGTTGCTCTAATTTTTGTGGGAACATAGGGTGGTAGGAGATGTCAGCATGTGACAGGCTTGGAAGCAAAGTGAGATCTCACTGTAGAAGGTAGCAGAGAGCCAGCAAACAATTCTGGCTAGGAGAAAAGATTGGGGTCGGAACTGTTGTAATAAATCCTGCAGCTCTTAACTAACCCATGATAATCTAGAGATACATGGAGTCCAAATTAGGGGCAGAGAAACTGGAGGAGACTCCCCCGCTGAGAATGCTGGGAGGAGCCTGGGGGGGATGTGCACTGGCTCCTGGCCAGGAGAGAGGGAGATTTTCACTTCCCGTCCAGACTGTTCTTTCAAAAGCTCTCTTTGTACTTATTTGTTGGAAAGCAAATTAGAATTCCCTGTTTGATTTGAAAGAATTTTTTGTTTAATGATTGATTGGCTTGTTTTTCATCTGGCAACTAAAAAAGGATCTTTTTTCTATGTGTGACAGTAAGATATAACCCAAGTGATGCTCCAGGAAAGTCCATGTAGTATTGATGTAGAGAATGGAGTTGAGGAGGTCAGTTGCTCCTTAGCCAGGTACTGAAAAAGAAGGAATGAAGGTGGAACTCTAGTGATTGGTAGGAGATCTTGAAAGGATGGAATCAATAGAATTTGATTACATCGGGAGATGCAATGTTGCCTTCCAAATTTTAAACCCAAGTGGATAGGAAAAACATGGTCTCCCTGTGGGAAATAAGATAATGATTTGGGAAGAAAAAGGTTAAGCTTATTTTAAATAGGTTGAATTGGAAGTAGAAGAAATGAAGAAGCATCCACAAGTTGTTCAAAGGCCAGAGCTGATGTTCCTGAGAGAAGAAGTAGGATGCCAATAATACAGTCAGAAGTTGTCTGCGAGGTAATAAAACCACGGTGGTGGGTGTCTGTGCTGAAGGATAACATGGTGACAGACCAAAAAAGAATGACTGACCAACGGTAGATCTCTGAGAAAAAAGAGCAGGAGAAAGGGAGCCACCTACAGAATAGAAAGAACGGCCTAGAATTTTCAGAGTTGCTAAGGTAAAAAAGTAAGGGAGGTGAAGAACGTAAAATGCAGACTTGTTGAGGAGGATGAGGATGTGGATGCCAGGGCTGTGTTTGGGGGCAAAGGACCACTTTTTCTGGGCAACTTACCTTCTTCCCTCTACACTCCAGGTCATCTGGGACTGACTTTCTCTTGTTGCTTGACCTGGGCACCAATGGCCTTGGTAATGGGTTATCCACCAGTGTTTGCTTGGGTATCTATTTGCTCTTTGGATCTAACGCTCCCCAAAAGCAAGGACTGTGGGGTCATTTAGCAGAGGGAAACAGGATGAGGATTTGAGGGCCCTAGAGAGCAGTTCCAGAAGAGAGTTGGGAAGTCAAATTGTAAGGTGTTATGGAATAAGAGGATGGTAAGGAATGAAAGAAATGTCTCACAGAGACAGCAGATGGGGAATTATGGGAACGTTGCATTAGGAGAGGAGCAGAATAAATGTTTAATTCTAGGGTAAAAGATTTGAGTATGTTCCTAAACTGATGAAAGCCGATAGAAAGAGGAGAATAAAAAAGTGGCAGAGGTAACAACTGATAGGGTTTAAGAAGGGACTGGTAGATGTAGGGGGCTGAAGGCAGGGGCTGGGAGAAGGTGCAGAGAACTGCAGATGTGAGAGGTGACTGTAGTGACTTGACTATGAGGAAGAAAACTAAGTCCTAACAATTAAAAAATAAAATAAACTGAACTTTTACGAATATTGTCATTTATCAGTGGGGGCAACATTTTCAAGACTCAACTTCCCTTCCCATAAAATGGGGACCCTCCTTCCACCCACAGGAACTGAATGTTATTGGTACTAACTTGCAGCTAGTTGTTGTACTAACTTGTCTGTTTCTTTGTTTTTGTTGTTCTGTTTTGTCCTGTTTCCCTGACAGGACAGAGTAGCTGTAAAATCATTCTGATATACAATCAATCAACAAGTACATGAAAAAATGCTCACCATCTCTAGCATTCAGAGAAATGCAAATCAAAACCACCCTAAAATACCATCTCACTCCAGTAAGATTGGCAGCCATTATGAAGTCAAACA